GTCAAATAATAATTTGTCAATGAAATTAAAAATTTTAAAGAAAGAAATGTCTTATCAATGTTCAGTCTTCCTTTTGATGCTTGTGAAGCTTCCCCTGTATAGTGTTGGGATGGACAGATGAAACCTCTAATATTTTCCAGTAGCCTAATCAAGGCATAACCATTGGCTGTTACACGCATGTCTCCTATCTGTGAGTTTCACTAACAATAACTGCATGACTATAAACTTTCTGTTTGGTCAGTGGAACTCATAGAATCTTAGAAATGTGATGGAGCAAAAGAAAACCATTTGGTCCGGCATGCTTGCGTCAGCTTTCTGAGCAGTGCTTTCGAATGCCTCAGTTGAACAATTAACTTCACATGATCAGAATCATTGTTATAGTAAAATTACCCTTAATAGGCAAACAGTCAGCTTCATTGCCACCATATCCACCACCTTCAACATTTGCGCCTTCTACCACTGACACACAGCAGTAGCAGTGTGTACCATCTACATGATGTGCTGCAGTGACCCACCAAGGCTCCTCCAACAGCACCTTCCAAAGCCATGACCACCACTAAACTAGAGCCCCAGACTAACCACCAGACACACATCAAGATCATATAACCAGCTACAAAGTAAAGCCTCATAGAATCACTGACAATAGTGCATCACTCCTCGATGAGCCCAATGCATTCTAGGTTCGTTTTGAACAGAAGGTCAGTGAAATGATATCACATGCCCCAACAGCCTTGGGTGCAACTGTAACCACAATCACCACCACAGACGTCAAATCAGCCTCCTTGAGAGTGAATCTACAGAAAGTGACTGGCACGGATGGCGTCCCCAACCATGCACTCAAATCCTGAGTGTACCAGCTGGTGGGAATATCCACAGACATCTTTAACCTCTCCTTACTCCGACGTGAGGTTTTTACCTGCTTCAAGAAGACCAATATCATCCTAGTGCCAAAGAAAAATCAGGCAACGTATCTTAATAACAGCCACCAGGTGGCACTGACACCGATCATTATGAAGCGTTTCAAGATGTTAATAATGGCACACATCAAGTCCACCTCCCAAATTGCCTCAATCCACAACAATTTGCCTGCTGTTGCAATAGGTCCATAGTACACACCATCTCCTTAGCCTTACACTCATCTCTGGAACATCTGGATAAAAAAAAAACACCTACATCAGAATTCTATTTATTGACTTTAATACCACAATTACAACCAAACTCATCTCCAAACTCTGAGACCTCCTCTGCAACTGGATCCTCAACATCCTGACCCACGGACCGCAATCAGCAAGGATAGGGACACCTTCTCCACGACAATCCTCAACACCAGTGCTCCACAAGGCTGCATACTCAGCCCCTTACTATACTCCTTTATACACTCATGACTGTGTGGTCAAATTCAGCTCTAACTCCATTTACCAATTTGCTGATAACTCCAATGTAGCAGGTCAGATCTCAAAACAATGATGAGTACAGGAAAGAGATAGAAAGTCTAGTCGCATGGCATAAAAACAACAATCTCTCCCTCAAATTCAGCAAAACGAAGGAGTTGGTCATTGACTTCAAGATGCGGAGGAGAGGACATGCCCCTCTCTTATCAACGGTGCTGAGATGGAGATGGTCGAGAGCTACAAGTTCGTAGGAGTAAATATCACCAACAATCTGTCCTGGTCCACCACATTGATGCTACAGGCAAGAAACCAGACCAACGCCTTTACTTCCTCAGAAGGCTAAGGAAATTCAGCATATCCACAATAATCTTAGCAATTTTTATAGATGCACCGTAGAAAGCATCCTATCCAAATGCATCCAGCTTGGAATGTCAACTGCTGTACCCAAGACTGCAAGAAACTAGAGAGAGTTGTGGATGCACCCCAATCCATCACACCTCCCTTCTATTGACTCCATCTACACTTCCTGCTACCTCGAGAAAGCAGCCAACATAATTAAAGACCCCTTCTACTCCTGTTTCCATCCTCTTCCATCAGGCAGAAGATACAAAAGTTTGAAAACATGTACCAACAGATTCAAGAACAACTTCTTCCCTGCTGTTATCAGACTTATGAACAGAACTCTCATATTAGAGTTCATCTTTTATTGCACCTTCCCTGTAGCTGTAACACTATATTCTGCATTCTGTTCTATTACCCTGATGTACTCATATAAGGTTTGATTTGTCTGGATAGCACACAAAACAATACTTTTCACTGTATCTCAGTACATGTGGCAATAATAAATCAAATTAAATCAAATCAAACCATGTAAAATGAAAAGGAAAACAAATACATCATAACACCATCATCTACAAGTACCGCTCTAAGTCTTTTGAAACTATTGCCATTCCGTCAGTGTCATTGGGTCAAAATCCTGGAACACCCTCCCTAAAAGCACTTGGTATACCTACACCCCCAGGGAGTGCAGCAGTTCAATAAGGCAGGTCTCCAAGAGCAGTTAGGGATAGATAATAAATGCTGTCCTGGCCTAGGATGCCCACATCCCATGAACAAATAAAAATAAATTAATATTACAGTAAATTCTTCACCCCACGGGTAGCAGTTGAAGAGTTGTATCCTGGTCCCTGTCAATTCCTCCAACTAAACTTTAAAAAGGCAGTGTGGAGATTTATTGGTCTGCAGGAAGATAACTTACGTATTGAATGAATGACTCACTCTTTCTAAATTAGCTTAATTTAATTACCTAATTTTAATTTGCCAGCCTCTCACCTAAAGCATCCAAGGAAATCCCAAGCAATTGGAAATAAACTTTTTGTTAATTGAAAAGGAGAGAAGAGATAAATTATTTGGCATGAACAAATTTGGAGATGTGATGGATACGTACTGAATATACCTGAAGTAGCAGTCTGATATTTGAAAACAAACCATAGGTAGGGCAGTTGCTGTATGTTAAAATAAACACAGGATCTACAGGCATAAAACAAAAGGATAACTTCAAACTGCAAACAAACAGATTACATTTCTGACAAAAATTTTCACCAATGGAAACCCGCTATCTATTATATAAAATCAATTTAACAGCTTCAAAGACACATGAGTTGATGATGCATTAACAAACATTTCT